GTTCTCTTATTGAGGTGGGGGTAGAGGTAGGAGCTCGAACGACTGCGGCGTGTCTGGAAAATTGCGGGGAACGGGGCTGGTGCGTTCAGAGGGGAAACCTGGTGTTTAAAGTGAATTATCTACGTTAGTTCTCAACATAGCCGCCAGATTTCTCCTCTCCAGTGCATCCCCCCGTAGGTTTGAAACCGATAAATTACGAGAGGGTGATTTGACGCAATCGATCTATTATCGGAAGAATTTGGCGCTGAAGTTTGTGTACCAACCAACATACATTATTAACTTTGAGTTAGCAATTGATGTAGACGTATTATAGCTACAATATTCAAATGAAGAGAATGTTGCCAACCCTTAAATGTTTGTTTAGTCGTTTCCGAATTTCTCAGTTAAAATGGAGAATTTGAAGGTGTCTGAAATTTGATAGCGGCACGATGGCGCTGAGCGTGAACCCTCAAGCTCCGCTATTTGCTGCCATTGAGGTGTCGCTCAATTTCAGGAGGAAAGTTGAAAAAGGAGGCCCGAATACGTATCTTCTATATTCGGCTGTGTTGCTTTCGTAATCTTTGAAGTACCCTCTACAAAAAAGACAATTAAAACCACCACAACGTGGAAGTAGAGCAAGAGAAATTATGCGAGCTGATTACGGCGCAGAGATACAACTATTCGTGCTTGATGGATGTCCGTGTTGCGTCTGTCAAATTGAAGGCGCCATGGCGCGAGATGGGCAAACTCGCAATGCTCCGTTCTCTGCTTTGGGCAGCCTTTCCTCCGACATTCTTTGCACATGTCCACACCATACTAACTGAGATAATTTGCTAATTTTTTTAATAAATTACTCTCTAATTTCCCTTTCCAGGAAAAATCGTAATAAATACTGTGAAATTAGCCAATGAAACACTTTAAAATGAGGCAATTACATTTCCTTGTGCCAATTCTTAAGTACTGAGAAGAAGCGAAAAATTTCTTACCATCTGGAGAATCTTGATGTCTGGATCATGAAAGAATATCATTGGAAAAAAAACCTCTTGGATCAATGCCGCGGTGCATTGACTTAAGAGTGCAGTTTCTTGTCCCGGATTTAAGAGTCTTGAACTCTTGTTTCAAGCGGATTTTGCATTGATTCAATTCAAAATCCGATTGAAACAAGAGTCCAGACTCTTAAATCCAGCGACAAGAAACTGCACTCTTGAGCCAAGAGGTTTTTTTTACCAGTGATGAAACTGAATTCCTGATTTCTACAAGATTTTTTAGCTACTTCATGATTTTCGCTTGAACAACATTGCCGGAGATTTCATTTAAACAAGAAATTCTGACATCGTCGGGAAGAATTTCTTATTTATACAGATTAAAGCATAAACTAAATTAGGGAATCAACTGCTTATTCCATCGCTGTTAATAAATTGCGCAGTTCGCGGGGTAAATTGTTGATTTTGTTCTTATTTTTAATTTAGCCAAGATAAGTGGTGCCTGGAAGCCTAACAGATTTTCATTTCCTTCTTCCTGCTGCGTGTCCTCTTATTCCGCGTTTCCCCTTTCTTCTCCCCCACCTGTTACCACTGCACCGCCCCTCCACGGATATTTTCCCACCCCCAAGTAGCTAATTACTCGCTACAGCGTTGCCACGTTGCAAAGCAAATAATCGAGAGGACACATCGACATTGTTTTATTTCTTTTCAAGGAGAAAAACGCGTCTATATTTGGAAGGATTCAATCGGAATCAGACTAAGTGCATCAGACGTTGCCTGATTTTCTGAAATGGTTTATTTTTTCAAAAGAAAATCAAAGGACACTGAAACAACTTGAACTTCTTTGAGTGCATTTTTCATAATCTTGGGTAAATTCACAGAATGTTTATAGGCGTTAAGTATTTAGTTAAACTACTCAACTTTAATTCTTGAAAACTTCTGTGATTTTTCTTTTCCGTGCGAAGAAAACTCTGTGACAAGTTTAAGGAATGATATTGATTTGTTCTCCCTTAAAAAAGTAAAATGGGAGCGGAGATTTTGAAACACCGCAAACGAGATACATGGTCCGGCAGTTTCACCATCGGTATCAAACTCCTATCTGTTTTTTCATGTCATTGCATGAATCATGGAAAAAAATATGCTAGATTTTACCATACTCCGACACAGTGATATGGGTACGGTAATAAACACCAGACTCTATGGTAGCATTTACCATATAATGGTAAGTATCAGTAAGGTTCTGGTGGATACTACCACAATTCTGGTCATTTTCACTAAATGGTATCACCGTGTAAAAAATCAAGTAGACTCATAGTAGATATTATCATATTTTTTTTTTCAGTGTAATATTTGAAAGATCGCAGCTCAGGAAACCCTTTCGTATTCGGTAGCTTTGGCTGGTGTGCTCACTTATAATCCTGTAAAAGGACTTCTGAAACATTTTCGCGATTTATTTCAGGAGATGCACTCTTCATTTTATTTCCTTTTGTCATTACAGCCCTCCACCGCCCGCCATATTTTGTCCCGTCTGCACTCGTTTTCGTGAAACTCGTGCATGACTCTGTCTCGAGCCCCCACTCGGCGAAAGATGAAGTACGCTCAACAGTATGAGTCGTTTCCACGACGGCAATCCGCCCTCGTTTCGTTTTTCAGCTCTTTTTTCCTTTTTCTGAATCTCCAACTTCTGGAGCTTCGTCCTACCTGACGCGGATCAATTCTGCCGTGCTGAGGAAAAACGCCGTATGAACCTTTAGGCGTTGTCAAATTTCCTTTAATAAACCCCGGCTTTCTTAGTAATCTTATGAGCCTTTGTCTTCCAATTTTTCAAATAATTTTGTTCGCAATTTCATCTGAAGTTCCTGAAAATTTCAAGGAAAAATATTCATAACTTTCCTCAAAAGTGAACGTTTCATCAAAAGAAATTTGGCAACTTTCGAATGTTCATACGGCGTTCTTCCTGAGCACGGATCAATCCGTGTCGCAAACACGCTCCGGAGGGTTCCCAGTTCCGCTACAACGTTTTTAATCATCATTCGATGGGTACATCCTCCAGATCGTCGCGTTTTTTGGAGCCTTTCAAGTTTCAACCGAGGGACAAAGACTCGTAAAAATGCTAAGGCAGCAAAGGCAACCTGTAGGTCGTTACGGATCCCTGTTTTTTCCTTTGAGTCGTTATTTTCTTGTTATGCTCTATTGTTTTCATACTTTCGAGTCATTTTGGAAGATACCCGTGAGACTCCCTCAACCAAAGAAATCCTCTTGAAGTAAATAAGATTACACTCGGCTAAAATCAAATAAATTTCAAACGTTTGATTATGTGACCCTCAAGTCGACAGTACACCGAATTTGTGACTTTTTGCATGTACTTCATAAGGATCAGTGCGCGCTGTGTCGCTTCAAAAATTGACGCTGTCCGATGAAAAATTAAATTTAGCGTGTAAGTATACTTGGACCGCGCGTTTAGGAGAAAGGAACCAAGCCACATCAGCCATTGCCGGAATGTAACCGGGCAATTTAATTTTTCACAGGAGAATTTTTGTGCGGATTCATTTGAAAATTTTAAGAAATTTGCTTTTGACTGTATTGCAACCGACAAACTGTCACAACTTGGTAGATACAGAGTTATTCAAAAGTCACGCACCACTGGCCATAACTTTAGTTCTAATTATGATATCGATTTACGGTTTAAGACGTTTTTCCTCATATCGAGGAGTAAACTTTTTAAGGTACTTTCCAGTTTTTGATCCCCTCGGGGAGCAGGGGGCAACTCCAAAATTTCAAATGGCCACCCCCCTCATGGCCAGTGGTGCGTGACTTGTGATTAATTTTGTATGAGTGAAAGCTATATGGAGCGCCTTCATCTTTCCGCCATACAATTTTAACTACACCGAAGCGCTATAAGTGGAAGTCATCTCTTCTTCAACAAATTGATTTTTCCAATTTCCTAAAACTTGTGGATCGTATTCGATACATCAAACAGGCGTTGTATCGCTGAAATTGTACTGATATAAATTGGTTGAACATGTAAACGTAGCCTCTGAAGTCTATCGAGTAATCCGTGGGAACGGGTTTTTGTGATTGATTTTTAATTCTTATGAGTACCACATGGCAATGAGAAGTGGAATTATTTGGAGTTTCCTTTTTCTCAGCTTCTCTATCTTAAATCCTAAACTTTTTGTTTGAGATTATGTTCAATTGCTCTGAACTAAAAGATTCATCGAACCACCATCAAACACGATCCATTTAATCCTCGCCACTGAAAAAAACACTTGTGTTCACAGGCCTCCTGCACTTCTTTTGTAACAGTCACAGAAGCTTCCGTCATGAAGACAGAATACTCTGTTCCCACGACCGCAGTTCTGTTCTCACAACAGAAAAATGGAGATGATGCATGTGTGAGGAATTCGCGATTTGACTATTAATTGTTAGTAAAAGTTCGCGAGAAACACAATGGTGCCACTGGTTTTCTCTGAAATATACTCCCAAGCTCAAAAAAAGCTCTCAAGTTGAGGGCGTAATGGAGGGGATATCCCTCGCTATCCTGAGAGTCCACCTCTCCATCAAGACAAACTCTCCATGCAAAGAAAGGGAGCAAACACATTAACAGGGCTGCCACCTTATTTGGGGTCCCTTAAACTGAAATCACGGCAACCCTGCTAATGTATTTGCTCCCTATCTTTGCATGGAGAGTTTGTGTGGATGTAGAGGTGGACTCTCAGGATAGCGTGGGATATCTCCTCCATTTTGGCCTCAACTTGGGAGCTTTTTTTGAGCTTGGGAGATGATGTAAGAGAAAACCAGTGGCACTATCGTGTTTCTCGCGAACTTTTACATCAAAATCAACAGTCAAATCGCAAATTCTTCACACATGCAACATCTCCATTCTGTAAGTGTAACAAAGGAACTGCAGGAGCCCTGTGAACAGGAGCCTCTGTCGTCAGTCAGCACCATCTATTTTTTCCTGTGTACTTAGTGAAGAACCTAGACTTTTGAGTGGATCTTTGACTAATGACGGGTATTCGTTTTCTTTGTTTTCAGGAACGATGAGGTGCAGAGGTCTCTGGAGCTGCTGGACCGCGTTTTATCGGAATTCGACGACTTGGAGAACGGGAACTCGAACAGCCCGGTGGGCGTCACGACGGCGGTCAGATCCCAGTCGGCCCCGGCGACAACGACGACAAGAACGAGCGGGAGCAGCGAGACAGAGACCCCCCTCGGGGGCGGCTCCCCGGAGGACGAGAGCCCCTCGCTCGGGCACCAGTCCGAGGACGACGGCTACATGAGCATGAACGGGAAGCGAACCAAATTGCTCCTCAACTTCCGAGAGAACGGCCCCGTCATCCTGCCCCCGGGCCCCCCGCCGCCCCCGGCGCCCGACCCCGACCCGGAGCCCCCGCCGCCCCCGCCCCACGCCCACAACGCCTACCACGCCGCCGATCAGCCCGATTTCCCGCCGCCCCCCGAGGAGGCGGAGCGCATCATCTCCACCCTCCTTCCAAGGTCAGCATTCTTCTCCTTATCACAAATTAACAACCAGATATGTTTTCAAAAATGATGGAGCTCTTGCGTGTGTCAGGCATTTGAGGACTTAACTGTAACAATAGCGGATGTAAAAAAATACCTTCTCGAAACACATTAAAAAATTGTTTTGGCATCGAAAAAATGTTGAGAAAATACTTGCGATGTGATCTCCGAGATCTGCACATTATGCCAGTGCCAAACATATTTAAATATTTGCTGCCATTGAGGTGTCGCTCAATTTCAGGAGGAAAGTTAAAGAAGGAGGCCCGAATAGGTTTCTTCTATCTTCGGCTGTGTTGCTCCTGTAACCTTTGAAGTACCACCACAAATAAGACAATCAAAACCACCACAACATGGAAGTAGAGCAAGAGAAATTATGAGAGCTGATTACGGCGCAGAGATACAACTATTCGTGCTTGATGGATGTCCGTGTTGCGTCTGTCAAATGGACCGCGTTTAACAGAAAGGAACCAAGCCACATTAGGTATTGCCAAATTTAACTGGGAAATTTAATTTATTACGAGACAACTTTTGTGCTTATTATTTTGAAAATTTTCAGGAACTCCCTTCGTAGTATGGAGGAAATTCTCTGAAATTTGCACATAAATCCGCACATCCGTTTTCATGTATGTAATTAAATTGCCCAATTAAATTTGGCAATAGCTGATGTGGCTTGGTTCCTTTCTGTTTAACGCGGTCCAAATTGAATAAAGGCACTATGGCGCGAGATGTGCAAACTCGCAATGCTCCATTCTCTGCTTTGGGCAGCCTCTCCTCCGACATTCTTTGCACATGTCCATACCACACTAACCGAGAAAATTTGCTAATTTTTTAATTAGCCTTATTTTTTTCCGTGCACCCCAGTCTACTTTTGGAGGTCACTTTATTAGTGCATGTGACGGTCCATGCGAAAAGGCAACACAATTTATTAAAAAACCCGATATTATTTGATGAAGGCCATTGGATTGGTCGTATCGAAAGTAAGAGGTCGAACTCAAGTTCTTTTAAGTTCAATTCCTTTTCCTCTCCTCAGTCACTTGAAAAGAAAATTAATTTTTTTCTAAACCTCGATTAATTATCAATAAAAGAGCAAACGTGCAGTCTTTCCGTAATCAAAGCTTGAAGCAACGTGAGAGAAAGGGATTGTCGTAAATGAATTTCATGCACCGTAATGAAAAACTAGGTGCTGTAAAAATATTAAAAGAAATTCGTATTTCCTCGTTAGTAATTTTATTGCTGACTTATTTCTCATCTACAATGTGCTATTACAAAATCATCTTTCAAAGTTTTGAAGTGGTTCCCTATCGTCATTGAAAGGAAAGAGAAAAATGCCAACGCAGCATTGATAGGGTTGAAGAGGTTTCAAAGTTCATTAAGCTTCACTAACCAGGAAGGAGAAAAGGAAGCAAAAAAGTCGATCGCAATGAAAGGCAAGAATTATGTTCTAGGTCTGTCATGATTTTGACCCAAATACATTTGACCGCGCTAAGTTGAAAGGAACCAAGTCACATCAGCTATTGCCGAATATAAATGAGAAATTCAAAATTTTACATGAAAACAGTTGTGCGGATTTTGTGCAAATTTCAGTGAATTTTCTGCATAGCACATTTAAAACTTTTCATGTTATCCTCACAAACGCTCTCTTGTACAAAATTAAATTTTCCAGTTACATTTGGCAATGACTGATGTGGCTTGGTCTCTTTCTGCCGTTTCTGCCAAACGTGGTCCAATTCAGGTTGAAAAAAACAATGTCTCCAACTTACGCAGTTCCTCATACACGGAGAAGAAAACTTCGCGCGTGGGATCCGAAGTTTCGGTCATATGGATCTCTGAAGTTTTCGGATTGAGCATCTGAACACTTAAGGTCTAGCTGCCGAAGTTCAGGTCAGACATCTGAAACTTCAGTTCTTACATCTGAAGTACTTCAGTTCTTACATCTGAAGTGCTTCAGATGTGAGAACCGAGTTTTTCGGATTTGAAAACCGAAGTACTTCAGATGTAAGAACTGAAGTTTCAGATGTGTGATCCGAACCTCGACAGCTAGACCTTAAGTGTTCAGATGCTCAATCTGAAAACTTCAGAGATCCATATGACCTAAACTTCGGGTCCCACGCACGAGGTTTTTTTCTCCGTGTAATTTATTTTGGCATTTTATCTTTTAAGGCCATTATTGACCGCGCTCTTTCGTTTCAAGCCACACAACACAATCCCTCCGAAACTGAATAAAATTTTGAAGCCTCGGAAAGCGCGTCAGTAGATATGTCATGGCGAATCTGAAAATATTCCAACATCCATCTAAAATTTAGGCACTGGGATGATGATCATTTTAGGCGTTATATTTTATGCAAATATCTCGGTGACAGCCAGCAACGATGGGTCATTTCATCCGACTCCGCAGTGCGGGGTGCGGTGTCGCGCGGAACGTCCAAAGAGACTGATGAACGTCGGAAAAGCGAGTCGTCACACGGACGAACGCGAGGTCAAAATGAGCTTCGAATTCATTTTTAATGGAATGAAAAATTGATGCGGTGCCTCGCTATTTATTCAAGAATTTGAAAGCGGTGTTTACTCCCAACTTTCCGCTCTCAGCACTGCAAATTGGTGTCCATTAAAAAGTTACCGCCTGGAAGTTGCTGAAAGTCGAGTAGAAATGTGACTCAGACGCCTGTCTTATTTATGCCGGGCAAATATTTCGCCTCCTCGAGCTTCGCTAACGAGTGCCGACGAGTATCTCCCGTATCAGTCGCTTATCACTTAACCCCGTCAAATTAATGAGCTTGTCTGTGTTTCTTATCCTGCCGGCCCAAACTGCCTGTTATGTTTAAAGTAATCGAGTTAAGTAAGGTGTCAGCCCTGAAAGGGTCATCGTTGCCCCGCATTTTTGCCTTAAGAAAACAAAAAGAAGAACAGGGTGTCTACAAGTCCAGAAATAGTACTGATTTTTTAAGGGAGGTCCGGAAGTACTGAGAGAGTGCGGGAATTCCGCGAAAAGGACCGAACTTTTTTTAATTTTTTTTAATTTTTTCGAATTTCGTCAAATGGAGGGACTGAAAAAGTACGGAATTTTTCTGTTGGAGGAGGTACTGAATATCTGGAGAATGTCCTGAAAAAGTACTGTAAAAGTACTTATTTTTGATCAGCCTGTTTTAGTAGACACCCTGGAAGAAGAAAGAGGTAAAGCAAGAAAACAGAGATCTTATTAGCCTAAATGAAGATAAAAAGATCTAATCAAACGGGCCTATAGTTCGACGGTCAATGTTGAACACATCAGATTCCGTGCACCAGTTTTTTTTAGGTATGTGTATCTTCCACCCTTCTATCACCAATCACCGATTTTTACTGTATCCTCCAATTTTAATTACTCCTAACAAGACCACGCTTATACTTTGCTTTAAACGATAGATAGATTACTTTTTGCAATAAGAAACCAGTATTTCTGGCCCATTTTAGAAACAACAAGCATACCATTGGTTTCAAAAAGTGCGGAAATTCTGTTAGAAGGTCCGGAATTTTCAATTTTTGTCGCAATTTGAGAGGGAAATTCAAATTTTTGAAATTTTTCCAATTTCGTCAAATGGAGGTACTGAAAGCGAACTGAATTTTTCCGTTGAGGAGGTACTACATTTCTCGGGAATGTACCGAAAAAGTACTGTAAAAGTACTGATTTTCGGCCAGCCTGTTTTAGTGGACACCCTGAACCCTGATATTTATTTATTTTTTAAATTATGTATACGTATATATCAAATGAATCGTTATATCTCTTGTGTTTGACTGTTTTCAGAGTTTCACCCGGAAATTCTATTCAGAGAAGTAACTGGAGGCGAAAAGAGGAGATCCTAAAAAAAGTTAGCCACAGCTTTCAGGGACCGATTTCGGACGAATGCAGAGTTAGTTCAGCGACACAAACAACCCTGGTAGGCCTTATTTTTCATTTTGTCTCAGTCCTTGAATCCTTAAACATATTATGTCAACGCCAAGTTTTTAAAACATCACNGGGCCCCCCGCCGCCCCCGGCGCCCGACCCCGACCCGGAGCCCCCGCCGCCCCCGCCCCACGCCCACAACGCCTACCACGCCGCCGATCAGCCCGATTTCCCGCCGCCCCCCGAGGAGGCGGAGCGCATCATCTCCACCCTCCTTCCAAGGTCAGTATTCTTCACTGAAAAAAAATTCTCGGCGTTTTTACCAAGGTCCGTTGGTATCTTTACCATCTCACTTTTCTTTACCAATTATCGGTAATTTTACCAAGACAGACTGGTAAGCTTACCTAAAAACCGGTATCTATACTATATTTTTACTGTTTTTTTCAGGTAAGAATACCACTTTTATTGGTAATCAATTCCCGGTAACTTTGCCATTTTATCTCGGTAATTCTACCACATTCGATAAAAAATATTGGCATTTTTACCAAGGTCCGGTAAAATCACAGAAAAAAGTTCAGCAATTTGACCGAGATTTTTCGGTAAAATCACCAATTCCATAAATGGTAATTTTACCAAGAAAAAACTGGAATCAAATAGAACCCTGAATTCTTGGTAATTTTACCCTTTTCTTAGTAAATACACCGATATTTTTTTTTTTTTCGGTGTTCTCCTTATCACACATTAACAACTAGATATGTTTTCAAAAATTATGGAGCTCTTGCGTGTGTCAGGAATTTGCGATTTTAATATTCGACCTTGTGTAAAATTTTGCGAGAGACAGGCTGGTGCATTTAGATTTCTCTGCAACAAACTCAAAAACTCAAAAAAAGGTCTCAAAGTTGAGGCCGTGATGGAGGGGATATCCCATGCTATCCGAGAGTCCACCTCCTTATCAAGTCAAACTCACCATGCAAAATGTAGGGAGCAAATACATTAGCATGGTTGTAACTTTGTTCGGGGACTCCAAAAATGAAAACTCGGCAACCCTGGTAATGTATTTGCACCCTATCTTTGCACGATGAGTTTGACTATACAGATATAGGGCTAAACTCATTCTCTTAACTCATTTTTCTTGAAAATGTGATCGTATGGGCCTTGTTTTTTTTTCTGTGCCCCCCAGTTTAATTTTGGGGGTTACTGCATGCGTGCATGTGACGGTCCATGCGAAAAGGGAACACAATTTATTAAAAAAACCCGATATCATTTGATGAAGACCATTGGATTGGTCGTATCGAAAATAAGAGGTTGAACTCAAATTCTTTCAAGTTCAATTCATTTTCCTCTCTTCAGTCACTTGAAAAGAAAATTAATTTTTTTGTAAACCTCGATTAATTATCAATAAAAGAGCAAACGTGCAGTCGTACCGTAATCAAAGCTTGAAGCAACGTGAATTGTCGTAAATGAATTTCATGCACCGTAATGAAAAACTGGGTGCTGTAAAAATATTAAAAGAAATTCGTATTTCCTCGTTAGAAATTTTATTGCTGACTTATTTCTCATCTACAATGTGCTATTACAAAATCATCTTTCAAAGTTTTGAAGTGGTTCTCTATCCTGATTGAAAGGAAGGATAAAAATGCCAAAGCAGCATTGATAGGGTTGAAGAGGTTTCAAAGTTCATTAAGCTTCACTAACCAGGAAAGAGAAAAGGAGGCAAAAAAGTCAATCGCAATGAAAGGCAAGAATTATGCTCTAGGTCTGTCATGATTTTGACGCAAATCAATTTGACCGCGCTGAGCTGAAAGGAACCTAGTTTTATCAGCTATTGCCAAATATAAATGAGAAATTTAAAATTTTACATGAAAACGGTCGTGCGGATTTTGTGCAAATTTCAGTGAATTTTCTGCATAGCGCATTTAAAACTTTTCATGTTATCCTTGCAAACGCTCTCTTGTAAAAAATTAAATTTTCCAGTTACATTTGGCAATAACTGATGTGGCTTGGTCTCTTTCTGCCGAAAGCGGTCCAATTCAGGTTGAAAAAAACAATATTTCCAACTTACGCAGTTCCTCATAATTGAATCAGTTAGTTCGAAAACACCAACTCGGTAACTCGAAATCGCTCAATTTTCATAAGAGACGGTCAATTTTATAAATGTCATTATTGAACTTAGCGCATCTGTTCCAACTTAGACCTTTAGAATGCCCTCAAGTGATTTTATTTCGGCACCAAAAATCTCTTTCTTAGACTAATTTCTTCATTTCCTGTTCGGTTTCGCGTGTGTCTTGATTCTTTTCATTTTTCCCAGTTGGTGTGTTTTCATTCTCACCGATTCAATTTATTTTGGCATTTTTTCAAATTTTAAGGCCATCATTGACCGCGCTCTTTCGTTTCAAGCCATACACTCCCTCCGAAAGTGAATAAAATTTTGAAGCCTCGAAAAGCGCGTCAGTAGATATGTCATGGCGAATCTGAAAATATTCCAACATCCATCTAAAATTTAGGCACTGGGATGATGATCACTTTAGGCGTCATATTTTATGCAAATATCTCAGTGACAGCCAGCAACGATGGGTCATTTCATCCGACTCCGCAGTGCGGGGTGCGGTGTCGCGCGGAACGTCCAAAGAGACTGATGAACGTCGGAAAAGCGAGTCGTCACACGGACGAACGCGAGGTCAAAATGAGCTGCGAATTCATTTTTAATGGAATGAAAAATTGATGCGGTGCCTCGCTATTTATTCAAGAATTTGAAAGCGGTGTTTACTCCCAACTTTCCGCTCTCAGCACTGCAAATTGGTGTCCATTAAAAAGTTACCGCCTGGAAGTTGCTGAAAGTCGAGTAGAAATGTGACTCAGACGCCTGTCTTATTTATGCCGGGCAAATATTTCGCCTCCTCGAGCTTCGCTAACGAGTGCCAACGAGGATTTCCCGTATCAGTCGCTTATCACTTAACCTCGTCAAATTAATGAGCTTGTCTGTGTTTCTTATCCTGCCGGCCCAAACTGCCTCTGTTATGTTTAAAATAATCGAATTAAGTAAGGTGTCAGCCCTGAAAGGGTCATCGTTGCCCCGCATTTTTGCCTTAAGAAAAAAAATAAGAAGAAGAAAGAGGTAAAGTAAGAAAACAGTGATCTTATTAGCCTAAATGAAGATAAAAAGATCTGATCAAACGGGCCTATAGTTCGGCGGTCAATGTTGAACACAGCAATTTCCGTGCACCAGTTTTTTTTTTCGGGGGGGGGGGNGGGTTATGTGTATCTGCCACCCTTGTATCACCAATCACCGATTTTTACTGTATCCTCCAATTTTAATCACTCCTAACAAGACCACGCTTATACATTGCTCAAAACGATTGATAGATTACATTTTGCAACAAGGAACCACTATTTCTGGCCCATTTTAGGAACAACATACATGCCATTGGTCTCCCTATGCAGATATGTACTTTTATCGGAGAGCCAGATATAAAGGTCCCTTTTGTAATCCAAATGTTTGCCGTCATTTTGTCTGTCATTTGAAAATTCATATCTGTATTAATAATGGACCCAATAACTTGTGATCTGAAATGTAGATACGGATCAAGATTTTCGGCCAATGATTAAGGCCTAGTATTACCATTATACGATTTTGTGAAACGCACCTGCACAGCCGACCGAGCTTGTACTTGTTTCAGACGGGCGACATTACATATTCAGGGTGTCTACAAGTCCGGTATTTCCGGAAAGTTCGGAAATAATACTGATTTTTTAAGGGCGGTCCGGAAGTACTAAAAAAGTGCGGAAATTCTGTCAGAAGGTCCGGAATTTTCCATTTTTGTTGCAATTTAAGAGGGAAATTCAAATTTTTGAAATTTTTCCAATTTCGTCAAATGGAGGTACTGAAAATGAACTGAATTTTTCTGTTGAGGAGGTACTAAATTCCTTGGGAATGTACTAAAAAAGTACTGTAAAAGTACTGATTTTTGGCCAGCCTGTTTTAGTAGACACCCTGATATTTATTTATTTTGTAAATTATGTATACGTATATATCAAATGAATTATTATATCTCTTGTGTTTGACTGTTTTCAGAGTTTCACCCGGAAATTCTATTCAGAGAAGTAACTGGAGGCGAAAAGAGGAGATCCTAAAAAAAGTGAGCCACAGCTTTCAGGGACCGATTTCGGACGAATGCAGAGTTAGTTCAGCGACTCAAACAACCCTGGTAGGCCTTATTTTTCATTTTGTCTCATTCCTTGAATCCGTAAACATATTATGTCAACGCCAAGTTTTTAAAACATCACCCCCAACCGAGGGTTGACTGGTGTTACCGGAAAAGTTGGATCAAGAGTCGTCCGCCTACACTCCCAAAAGTTCAAAGGGGAGGAACGCACCAGAGCAACTCTGTGTTTTTTCCTTGTTCATGGATTAACATCTCGTCACACTGTTTCCAAATGTGCTTAAACCATCACAACGCTGTTGAGATTATCCGGTTGAAGATTATTTAAAATCCAATACAAAGGGTGGCAACGTTTTTAAGCTGTCATATTTTTACTTCTCTCGTTTACCCCACCACTTCAAAATGTACTCCGCGTCCCTCGTGAGTTTTCCTTTCCGCAATTTTTGTTTCTTCTTTATTTTTCTCTCCGTGATAAAACNATAGGATGACGGAAGAGAGGCTGCCAAAAAAGATGCTTGATTGGGTTCCTCCTGGGAGGAGACGTAGGGGACGCCCAGTGAGAGGTTGGCGACAGGGGGTGTTAAATGAGATAAGAGATTGTCAACTCCCTGATGACCTGTGGGAAGACCGAGCTTTGTGGCGATTAGGCGTCGCACAGCGCCAAAGAGCGCTATAAAAGCGACTCATATATATATATTTTTACTTCTCTCGTTTACCCCACCACTTCAAAACGTACTCCGCATCCCTCGTGAGTTTTACTTTCCGCAATTTTTGTTTCTTCTGTATTTTTCTCTCCACGATAAAACGGGGTAAATGCTTTCCAAGTTTTTCTTAGGGGTTTTCTCGTGCCATCAAAATTCTACACATGTAGTCTTGAATATTCGCTCGTGCCTTAAAAGAATTAATATTCACCCGAGCTTTCTACTGTCACTGTTCAGAACTTCAACTTAAGACATTAAATTCCTAACAGACGGTTACATATGAGAGTTTGATTCCGGACGCATCTTCGAGCAGTTCGCTTTTCCCTCAAGCCCTTTCTTTCTTCCTCTCTTTCTTTAGCCCATAAGGGCTAGAGTACCTTTATAGGGACAACTCGAAAATTGAGAGGTTAAGTTTGATCAGGTCGTGTAGCTCTTGGGGCCCAAAAGGGCAGCCAACCTTTGAACTCGAATTATCCAGTGTCACTAATTTAAACTGCGAGAATAGGTACACTGATCAATAATTATGTAAGCAGGTATAAAACTTGATTTCACATACATTTTCTCAATTTCAAAGTATCAATCCTTAAAAACGCTTGTTTACAATAAGCTGTCGGCCCTAGTGATCAATATTACAAATGCTTATAGGTTGGCAGCGGCACTTTTCCAGTGATTTTCGTTTTTCACGTTGTCGCCCTTTTGGGCCCTAAGAGCTACATAAATCAAGTTGTCCATACTCTCCCTATAAAGGCACTCAAATGAGGACCTCATACCTTAGAAAGTAACATTATTGTTAGATAAATGTAATCTGGGGATTAGAATGTAGGACCTCTTCAAAATGGCACTTTTGGAACATGCAGCATCGCAGCTTGGACAATAAATTACCGACAGTCCGTCCTAGAACATTTTACCTTCTGAAGAGTTTTAATTAGAATTTTTCTTCCAAGTTCCTAAACAACAATTAACGCTGACAAGGGACCCACAGCTCAAAGCACCCCTATTTATGTGACATTCGTGAAGTTTCCTACCTTTACCCTGCCGCCTTGTAAAAAATAAAGGAACAAGCGGAAATATTTTCGTGGAATAATTCAGCTGTATAACGAGTATAAGCGTAAAAGAGGCCCTCCTAATTTGCTTCTTTTTTCACCGTGAGCAGAACATCACCTCTAATTTATGTGTTTAAAAAACCAATTTCCCCTCAAATTTTTCTCCCGGCGCACGTGTCTCTGTTTTTAAGTGTTTTCATTCTTATTTTTCCGTGGAGTCTAATATGGCACTGTCGGCGAAGTCTACGTTCGTAGGAGTAATGTATTAAAAGTTTGAACATTTACAACTTTGCTATGCCTTGAAGCCTTAAGAATAAAATGACTTGAAACTGTTTTTAAGTTGTTAGCTTATGAATTTTGAACTTTGGTACTCTCGTGACTCTTACGCAGCCTTAACTCTCCAGAGTCCAAGAAAAAAAAAAGCCTGATGAAACAGGAACAGGTCTTTTAATACGCTGGATATTCTTTTTTAGAAGCACATCATGATTAGAAAAAACTTTATCAGCTTTTAAGAATATGTCTCTGTAAACGAATTGAATTAATTAATTCATTTCAGGGATTTCAGTATGAATGTAGTGTTTTCGGGTTGACGCTATTTAAAAAAAGAAAAAAAAATCATCTTAATCGAAGTAACCTTAACGTAAATCACGCACTTCGAACTCATCGTCCACAATTGACTGGTTCCCTTTTTTCTTCTTCTTTTGCAAGAGCACGAGGTATTCTGTTTTGCTAAGGAAGAACGTTGTACAATTCCTCTGACGTTACCAAATTTCCTTTCATAAAACCCAGTTTTCTGGGAATTTTATCCGTAGATTTCTCACTAAATTTTTTAATGGAATTTTGTTCGCAATTTCATCCTAAATTTTGAAAATTTACAAGAAAACCACTCAAAACTATCCTCAGAAATTAATATTCTATCAAAAGAAATATGGCAACTGTCGAATGATCATACATCGTTCTTCCTTAGCACGACAGTATTACAGCCAAAACTATCACACACAGCTTTACATACGGATGAAGATATCTTCGTTTAAAAACATTGCGATTTGGCAATGACGCTTCTTGCGTTCAATAGAACCCTCCTCCGTAACACCCAACGCTACCTTTCGGCTCATCGCTGAACTTTCAGCATCATGAGCAGACCCCCGTCACAACCCTCTTATATTTGCACTGTTGAGATAGGTAGTAGCAAATAAGATTAATAATACTTTTAACTTTTCGAGTTAAGTCTCGAGGGGCTGTAAGGTCAAGTGCAAGTGCACCCTTCAACAGTATTCTCCCTTTCTCATTGTCTACCATCTGACGCAAAATACCGAACAAATTATTGCGATGTCTCACAGCTCCTTCATTCCGTTGTACAATTTGAACTCTGAAGTGCCTGCCACAGCCCCGAAAAATTAATAATTTTGGAACGTAACCTGCGAGCGAGGTGAATTAGCGTTTTTGGCGCGTATACGTAGTATACCGCCTTTGCGATCGTTTCGACCCCCCCCTCGATACAATAACCGAGTCCCCTAGTTCCTTACCGAAAAGTGACTACCGCGAACTTCTGAGATTTTCCAAAGCGTGTAAAAAGTTTACTAATCCGTCAATAATAATGATTAAAATTTGTTTCTCATTCTGGGGCTCGCTAGTTTATGTGTAATGAATACCAAGAGTCTACGTTTCTTGGTTTTTTTTAAAAAAACCTTAGAATGGGGCGCGCTGATTTAAAATATGCATATATAAGCGGAAGCAAGCGAACTGATTCGAGGATGGCTGACCAGTTCGGCACTCCTTGAATGAGAATTTCACTCACTCCGTTTTGTTCACAACGTTGCTTTGACATATCTCCACAACACTGTTATCCTTTTCAAAAGTTGGTACTCCTTGCTCTGATAGCCGGGGCCACCAGGATAGTGGTAAGTGCAATCTGTGATGAGCCTCGAGACTCATTAGACCATTTGCTAAACGTGGCTCATACAGGAGTCCACTAAGCCCTCTCGTCCCCACGCTCCTGATCACTGCGTCGGCGTCACGAAGAACAATGGGCCTTGGGTCCCAACGCGGCCGATACCCGTACCCCAATTACTCACGCTTCATTAACCATTTCACCGTCACGCTAGGATTCATCCAATTTTCAAAAAAAATTGTTTCGCATGTATTTAGCAATTTTTTCCTTACTCTCCGTTAAAACACAAATAAAAAGAGACCTCATTCATAAAAATCGGCCGAATAGAAGAGAAGTTACAGTAATCGAAATCCGAAGAAATCAACAAAACCTCGACTCCTCGATACGAAAAATAAAATGAAGGGGAAAAAAAGAAAGTATAAATTACAATTAAATATAATTGACCTCAAAATTTGACAAACAATTCATTTATATACCTAACGCTGAAAAAACTGGGAGAAATTACAAAAAATTTGCCTCTTGCAAGGGGCTTCTTTGTAAGAATTTTGACCTGAAGACAACGGTCGAATAACAGCAGTACTCCATACAATACACGGTGTGCCTGAACGAGTTAAACATTTTTCATACGTCCAAATCGAAAAATCTTTATATTTTTAACTACAATGTTTCTTGAATCGTTTAAGCAAAAAAAAAAAAAAAAAAAATTCCGTCGAGATTCTGGAACGCAAAGGCGCTTTAAAAGTATTCTGGGGCTATAATAGCTAAATCACCGGTAGTAAATTCGTTATATTATTAAAAAGAAATTGACTCCATAGTTTAATTCCTTAGTTTCTTGAATACGATTATTTTAAGCACTTAAACATTTATACCACCAATTTTAGCCATGGGGTGATTTCCTGAGAGCCGATAATATCACGAATTTCTCATAGAACCCCTCAACAGTGGCTTGCTTTTTTGGCAGCCGATTCGGCCATCGAACCGGAGTTTAAATGGAAGCTGATAATAACCCAAAGCTCTGAGAAAAATTTTGAGATGAGTATAAGAACGGTTTGTTGTAAGTAGCGAGGAGAGGCGGGCAAAGCGGCTAAAATCCTATCTAATTTTTACAGTTTTTCTGTTGAATTAATGTTGCCGCGGGCTTCTGACTGTCCACACATAGTTCTGTTCAGCATATCGATACATAAGTATTTACATTTTACATACGTAGAATCTAATTTTCACGTCGGGGAGTTGACATATTTTGATTTTTTCGATTTTATACGGAAAATTGATGGTTTTTCGGGATTGAAATTATTATTGTTTCATGAAAAATAAATGCACCCAAAATGACTATAGCATATTGATTCTTACACATTTGCACTCACAAAATTGGTTGGTAAATTCAACGAGTGGGTGCATCGACCTGGTATATCAAGTTTCTGCAATTTTTTACGGCAAATCAGTAGATTTTCGGGATGTAGATTGCTTACTTTCAATTCATGAATGAATAAAGCAACGACATGGTTGAACTTCTTTGCATGGAAAGACGTTTAAAATAACAAAATCAAGACGTATTTAATGCAATTGCATTTATATCGAGTCAATTTCTTTTCAATAATATAACGGGATTTTTACTACCGGTGATTTGGGTATTTTAGCCCCAAAATACCTTTAAATCGACTTTATCTTCTAGGAGTTCGACAGAATTTTTCCTTTCTTCGCTTAAATTATTCCGTAGCACTTTTCTTCAAGAATCTGATAAGATTTTGCTTGAGGCAGATCAAAAAACTTAAATTCGATCGAATAGCTTTCTACTTTCACAATACACGGTCTCGTCAAGGTGCGTCTTTGACCTCGCAGTGTTGGATCGTGAATTCTCTTTTTATGCTGTTTGCCTATTTTGAAATCTCTGTAAATGAAAACTAAAGGGGTTGATATGTGCGAGTTAATGACGCGCCTTATCAACACATTGTGTTGGAGTTCACTGCTTGTTTCAATTACAGCTGATTTGTCAAACTAATTGAGTTTTGTGACTTAATAGGGACGAAGTTTTTCAATATTTTTTTTCTTTCTTTTTTTCATCCTTAAAATGATTTATGAATAAAAGTCAGTAAGATGATTTTTCTGCTGCTGAACGCACTGTTTGATGCAATGCGTGAAGAATTCATGTAGTCTTGTAGGCGCTCTGCGTTTTACGCTGACCGCACTGTATACCGAAACGCATAGCGCCTACAAGACTGTAGGAATACTTCAAGCATTGCGCCAAATCCAATGCTGTCAGCGCGGCGCGGTGCGGCAGCGGAAGTTAAAATTATTAAACCACATTTATGTTTTGTTCTTTCATAATTTTTTCGTTCACTTCTTATAAATGGAGGGCTTTGGCCACACAGAGATAGGATTACGGAACTTAACTTTCGCGCAAAGTTCCCTGAACTTTTGCCAGTAGTTTTTACAGGTCTTTCGCAAAAAATGTGTCTGACACGAGTAAACGCGTCTTATGCACCCCTCCTCCTCCGGCACGTTCACTTAATGGTTTTTATTGAAGTTTCAAAACGAATGTGAAGGGGACGGCAAAATACAGGCGGCCCATGGCCATGGGCGGCAACTAGGTAAATCCGGCCCTGTTTTTCATTTCCTCCTGAAACTTTGGATAGGGAACAAGTTCCTTAGTACTTTAATTCATACCTTGTCTCGTGGCCCACACTGGAAAGAAAACACATTGGATCTAGAGTCCAGACTCCTAAAAACATCGACAAGAAAAAGTACTCTTGATTTAATCAGAATCTAGCTTATATCAAGCACCAAGCCTCTTAATTTAAGCGGATTTCGTTTTGATTCAAGCAAAAATCCGATTGAATCAAGAGTATTTTTTCTTGTCGATGTTTTCAAGAGTCTGGACTCAAGATCCAATGTGTTTGTTTTTTTTCCCAGTGTATGATTTTTCATTATCAGTGCAGTGAGAGTTTCATCATCATGATTATTACATTCGTATGATGATAACGTTACACTATCTTTTTATTGGATTGATCTCATGTTTCTCTTTTTATTTCCAGCCCAAAACGCGGCACCAGAGGCCGTACGGTTGGGAGACGGACAACGCCTCGACGCCGAAGGCGAAGCGGGAGCGCTACGCGCACGGAGGGAAGAAGTTCGGGAGCCTGCCGTACGACGGGGTGGTGCACTTCCCGCCGTGCGTCCCGGGGTGGCTCGTGCGCCAGGGCCCGGGGCCGCTCCCGCCGCGGACGATCCCGGCCGCGGTCGGGCGACACCGGGAGGTGCGGAGGTGCGACTCGGCCGACTGCGACATGGACCAGTCCTACGGCAACGGGCTCAAGCCCCTGTCCGAGCTGACCGACGACGAGCTGGCCGCCTTCTCCGACGACTCCCTGGAGGACATGGCGGCGCCCCTTCAGAACGCCCCGAGCAAGAGGAGCAGCATCGCCTGGGAGGTCCCGCTCAACGACCCGGAGGAGGAGGCCCTCTACACACCTGGAAGTACAAAAGTCATCGGCAGGAGGAGGAGGAAGTCGACGGATCAGTCCAGTAACTATAGTAAGTTGACGCTTGTCTTGCGCGGGAGGAAAAAAAAAAACACTCCTCGGGGTGTCTGTGTCGCAGGCAAATAGTAAAATCAGGCATTTTGTCCAATGCCTAGGCAAGTAGTCAAATATTCTAACTTAGATTGAAATTCCGATTCTTTTCCTAATTTCAGAGAAAATAATGCATTGCTCCTGCAAGAAAAAATTGGATTGCATTTTGAAAAAAGGAACCACTAGCATTGCAATGTTGCTAAGATTGTGCAACTTCTATTGTCTTGGAGGAAAAACCCGATTATCCATTAATAGTTTCTATTTTACTCGCTAAAAACTGTAAATTTAAGACCAAAATTACCGTATAAATTTCATAGTTTTTCACGATGTCCGCAATTTTATTGAAAAAGATGAAGTTGCACAATCTTAGCATCATTGCAATGCTAGTGGTTCCTTTTTGCAAAATGCAATCCAATTCTCAGTAAAAATTTGTATACACAATAGTATTTTAAGCAATTTTTAGCTCCTGAAGAGACTCTGATTTTGAAATTTTCAGCATGTCGTAAAATACAGAATTTTCGGAATTTCAACGTTTAAAAATATGAGAAGCAATTGAAGAGGAAGAGACGAAAAAATACGTCGGTTTGATGAGTTATTTTTCCAAAAATAGTGAAAAATCGTGAGCTCTTTGCCAGACTTGTTTAACATTCACAACATTTTGTAGACTGTTAAAATTTGACTATCTGCCTTTGACAAAATGCCTGATTTCACTACTTGCCTGCGACATCTAAAAGTCCAGAAAGCACGAAAATAGTACTGATTTTTTAAGGATGGTCCAAAAATACTGACAAAGTGCAGAATCCCGCAAGAAGGTCCGGAATTTTGTCATTTTTTCGTCATTTTTGTCGCAATTTGAGCGGGAAATTCATATTTTTGAAATTCGCTGAATTTCGTTAATTGGAGATACTGAAAAAGTACTTAATTTTTCTGTTGAGGAAGTACGAATTTCTCGGGAATGTACTGAAAAAGTATTAAGTCTACCCAAAAAAGTGTAGCACTGGCTGCCAGATTTTTTGAGGAGCGTACAGACTATAGAGCAAGACCATCTTACAGCCATTATCAGGCTTTTTTTAATCTATATTCCAAGTTGTTTAATGTTAAAGGCAGCTGTAGCATACAAGAGGGCCTTTTTAGCTGAAATCTAGGCAGAGAAATTTTAAAATTTTTTAGAAAATGTCCTCTTTTTGGCCAAAATTTCATGAGAAGGTTTAATATCTACAAAATTCTTACTTTTTAGTGTTTCAGAGTGAATTATAGCTTAAATCGGAGTTGAATATGGTCACAAAAACTTTCTAAAGAAGCTCTGAACTTCCTAAGCTTTTTAAAATTTAATTTTTTTTTCTTAAAGAAAAAGTAAATACATACTCTTAAGCAAGAAGTGAAAATTCCAAGGCCTTTGATTAATTCTGTGGTATTGCTTTTATTTCAGGTTCAGGATCTATGTCAAGAATGCGAGAACTTGATGATTGGCCGGATCCTCCTTTCTCTCCATCCCCTCGCCCAGACAGTCGGCGAGAGGACATTTACTCTCATCCAATGGAATTTTCACCATCGGATCTGACACCAAGTGGGACGTATGTGATACGCCGCGGTCGGAAAAAAGAAAGAAAAGCCGTACTAAGTGTAATTCACAGAGATGAGCTACCCAAGCCAAACGCAAATAACGGAGACTTAAAAAGATGTAGCTCCACTTTTGATAATATAAAATCGCTACTTAAAGAAGGTTTAATAGACGGACTGGATGAAACTCCACCAGATTTCCTCCCTCCATCACCGCCAAACATGGCCAGAGTAGTATCTTTACCTACCCTCACCATCGATGAGAAAGATGAAGACAAATTAGAAACAGACTCGGACAATAAAAATCAAAATAGAACTTTAGGATTAAGTTTATCTTCATCTAGTATCTCAGCTGACAAATTTAATGATGAATTAGATGAGAGCATGGATTTAGAATCATTAGAACCAGATATAAATCCCGCACCATCAGAGCATAACTCGTGTGATGAAAATAAGAAGCTTTCTAAATCGTGCCATGCCAGCGGGAACCTAGTTTATCATGTAAATGGTGACATTTATGAAGATACTGAAACAGATAAATCCGAAAGTGAAGTGCCTAATGAGGAAACATCAAAATTTAAGGCCCAAGTAGATGATAGTAAATTCGAAAATGCAGTCAATAATGTGTTAGATGATCCTTGGTGCAAAGCAACAGAAGTCAGTCAAGTCCAAGTGATACCGGTGAATGGGAAGTCTTCATTGCAGCGCCAAGAAATAAGACGGGAAGGGAGCGAGAAGTCATCATTACAGCGTCAAGAATCAAGAAGGGAAGAGTGCGAAAAATCCTCATTACAGCGTCAAGAACTTAGAAGGGAAGAGTTCAAGAAAGTAAATGTCAAAGAGAAGAAGGAATCCAGGAAGTCAGAAAAACCACCCTGTGATTTTAAAGTCAACGTTGAAGTTGTTCAGCATGAGTTCGGCCCTCTGCCGCCATCTCCTGTAGAAGAGGAAGATGATGAGTACTCAGATATCCTACATTCGACAGCCAACATGAGCTTAAATAAAAGGAAAAAAGCTGATACTTTACCAGAGCCATTTTATAGGTGTGTTGATTCCCCAAGTAGTACTCGTATAAGCTCAAGATTTGCTGAGAGACCTCCTGAACCACCCCCTCACCGTGATATCTCGATGAATAGTTTGAAGACACGGTCAGTGGATGCAGGCTTTACCAGGAATCATAGGAATCAATTTTCTGGGCATAGGAGAGATGTAAGTATTAGCAGTGTTCTATATTCTCATCTACTGTTAGGTATCAAAAGCAGTTCATCCTATTCTTTAAAATTTAATTTTTAAGAACGCAAAACATAGCTATCATTTGGTGAGTCAACTCAGAAATGAATGGGTCCATCTCATTGCCAAAAAGATTTGTGAACCGAACGAAGGCCAAAAGTAAACTTACACGGAAAAAATTAAATCGCTGATTTAATAATGCAATTGTCACAAAAAGTGACTGGCATGTTCCAATGTAGATTTTTCAATAAAAAAATGCTAAATTAACCACCTCAGTGGTTAAATTAGCATGTCAGTCACTTCTTTTAACACTTGACTTGTTCAATCATCAATCCATTTTTTACCAATTTCACCAATAAAAGGATAACTCACTTGGTTCTGGAAGCTCCTATAGTAAATATATACAAATTCACAGGTCCGAGTGGAGAATGCCTCAGACTCAAGTGATGTAAACTGTAAATTGTGGAATCCGAATATCAGGTATTCTTGGAACCCACAAACCAAGTTTTCACAAATTGTTCAAAACTGTGCTTACCCATTACTTTTAATGAGGGCCAGCAACTATTGTGTAAGAATTTCAGCTTTCAAACTTGAACTTTTAAAAATTTCAAAGTTTGGTTGATTCATAATGTGTTGAATGGATGCTTCTGAAATCAAGTGATTCGTCTCTTTAATGGTGTGAATTATTTTTGAGCTTATTTTTGGGCTATGGTCAGTTCACTCAACTTTTTGGGATAACATATAATGGACCCATCTATTTCCAGTTGGGCTAGCCATTTGTTGAATGACTCTTTTTTGAGCTTAATTCATAGATGTTTGTGGAATCCACAAACACTTATGGGTGCGCATAGAGTCCACAAACGACTCAAATCAATATAAGGTGCTCGTGGAATGTTTTTACCAAGTTTTTACAAGGTATTTAAAAATGTGCTTACTCATGACTTGTGACAAGGATTGACATTTTTTGAGATAAGGTTTTTACTTTCAAACTTGAACTTTTAAAAACTTCAGTGACAGCACTGGACTTTATCAAGAGCTACACTCAAAGTACTTGTTTTCGTGGAACCCCCAAATTAGGAACCTGCAAAATATTGGACGTGCTAATTTCAAATACTAGTTCGAGTGGATAAAATTCAGTGTTGCTCTTGAGCTGTGTATACCTGATAGAGGCAAACACATAAAAATGTTTTTAAAGAACACATTAATTTTAATACAAACCACATGAGCCTCTGAAAGGAAAGGAACTGCTCTAGAAACAATCATGACAAAGAGTCTCTTTTAATCTTTAGACGGAAAGCTCAGCATAATGTAGATGAGCCAGGAAATCCAATTCAGATTTAGAATAATAAAGATTATGCCACAAGAAGTACCAGACATTCTTTGCCAGCCTTAGATCTCCAGTTCCTTTCTGAGGCACTACCTAGACTACCTACACATCCAGTTCTAATCATAAAATATTTGCTCTTATGTTTAAATGATTGCAATTGTACGCTATAAAAATGGTGTTTCAGTTTTATAGAAATTTATTATGCTTCAAAATCATGCTTTTCAGTGGGAGGAAGGAAAATGTGTGAAAGAAATCACTAAAATTTTAAATTACTCCAAACTTTAAAGGAATACCTAGAGCACAATTAGGATGTATGTAAGTGGAACCTTGAAATTAGAAACAAAATTAATCATGTTTCAGATACCCTCAGAACGGCAAACTCTACCCAATGACATGCCTGGTCCATCGCAGAGGAAAATGTTTCAGAAAAGGAATGGACACTGTTCTCGAGAAGAGAGTCACATGCAGAACTCGTGTTCTTTACCAGAGACTCCTATTTTCTCTCGTGGCTGTGATATACCACGCACTCCGCATAGGAGAGCCCCAGAAGTTCCTGGGGTTGTCAGAACAACGCCAAGGCTGGGGATGCAGACGACAGGGTATCTGCAAAGAGGAATGGGAACAGCAACTGGCCATGGCAATGGGGTCATGGGCAATAGTTTGGGTCAAGCGATGACTGGTGCTGAACTTTTAAGACTAGCTGGTGGTCCTGGAAGAGGCTGGTATCCAAGGCATAGACAGCCGCGACCAGCATCTGTCGAACATCTCGATAGATTAGCCCATTCACCTCATCCGGGTGCACCTTGGGAAGCTAACTCAGCAAGAAAGCCACTCACTCTACCTCCTAATCTTACCCCTAAATTTTTCAATCGTTCTCCCAGAGAAGCGCTACGCAGGGTCACAAGTTTACTAATTAGGAATAAAGGTAAGAATTTTACATTTCTTAATGCTAATTTATTTTTCTGTTTCCTGTTTGTCCTCATTTCATATCATCTGATAATCAGAAGAAAACTGGTTTGTTTGTAAAATATCACTAATAAATGTATCCGGGAAAGATATTTAACGTTATTGAGGATGAGAAGTGAAATCTATCCTGCCCAGAAAGTGTTCAAATGTTATTCTAGTGGAAACAAGATTTTTATTGATTTGCATAGATAGACAGACAGGTGAAAACACGGGGCAAGTTCGGATAGGCTGGTCAATATTTAGGGTGATTTTGAACAAGTTCTCCTTCAAGTGGCAAAAATTCAACAAAAATTTTCCGGTTGACGTATCAGGTGGCCAAGTTACTTTTTTGGTGTCAGTCTGCCCTCGGTTCATTAAGTAAATTGTAGAATATTCTGGAATGACGAAAGTTCACCTATTGATTTAAATTGATCCCTCAAGTACATACATTTATCTCATTGAAGGTCAATGTCTTGTCTTGGTTTGAAGTACCAGAGAGCAAACATTTTTTCAGAAAACAATTTTCCTGTTATTTTTTAAATAAGGGCCAACTTTAACTCAATTTGATGTATGTAACACCATTGTAGCTCATCAATAGCATTGTGAAAAGACTGTAATTCTTACATAATTATGCACTCAATTCAAATTCCTTTTTCCTGGGAATTCAATCTAATTTTTTCAAATTCCTTTTTTTATTTTTTTTGAAGTCCTCACATTTGCAAAGGCATATTGTAGGCTTGATGTTTGCAAAATCGAATATGATGCATATGAATTAAATTATCTTCACTTATACTCTTTTTTTTCAAGAGGGTTGTGCAAGGTCCTGTTTTCTCGCTTGCCTTAAACGTAGTCCGTGGATTTGAAACTTGGCGGGACGATTCAAATTTAGCGCGTTAACAGACGTGCGCATGACTCTGCAACTCTCCTGTTAGTTGCGTCATTACCCGATAGATAGCAGCACACCATCAAGCGCAGCTTTCGTGCGACTTCCAGCGGAAGAGTGACGGTAAAATCGAACCGTCCTGTTATCCGCATGACGTCAAGTTGGTACAAAATCAAATGAGCCGCGAGCACTTCACTCTTTCTTAGGCTATTTGTGACGTCAGTGCGATATATACCGGGGGTACAGGGCTACCTACGCCGCCGTTTTACTCTCAGAAGCCATGTCGTCTGACAGTTTTGCCTCTTGTCAGTCGTATGTCCGTATGTAGGAATCAGTGCTATCTCTTTGTCTGGTCATTTCGTAGGTTTGAAAAATTCAGTTCTCAAAAAATAAATGCGTCTGCGTAAAAATATGAATAAGGGAACCCTGGGGTCACTTCTTGTTCGTTTGGGTGACTGCTTTTTCACGGGGAAATTCAGGCTAAAATATTTAAAATTTTCACGTTATCGTGACCCGACCTCCTCCTCGAAATACGAGAACACACGAATCTGCAATGATATAACAATAGTACGTTCCAACGTCTCTCTCATTTCATCCAAAATAGTTGTTAGGAACGGTAAAAAAATCGTGAAAATCAGTGAGGTAGGCTTGTATCCAATCACGTTTCACCTCGCTCACCTCGATAAGGTGGTATATAGATGAGTTTATATAATATCGATAGCTGAAGTGTGACATCACGTATCTTTATTGCGGTGTCTCAAAATCTCTGTTCCGCGGGTGTTTTTTCGAAGATGAAAAAGTCAGCTTTATAGCTTGAAATTATTACAGAATAATCTACTAACAGAGGAGAAAAATCAAGAAATTTTTCAAGAAATTACGTTGACTAGTTTTCCAATGAAAAAATAAAGCATGACCGGAAGTCCTTAACACGAAACACGTGGTCTCGCAATTTGGTCATCAATACCTTTGTGAAGCGCTTTTTTTTTTTAGCATTGAAACGCCGCTGCGTCTACGAGACATCCTCCTCCAATTTGACCCAGAGTGGACACCAGACCTGCACGCTCAATATGACCATCTCCCAAGTTCATCGACCCGACCTTATTCATGGCGAATCCTCCTCGCAAAATGTAAAAAAACCGCAGTTTTTGTCGGGCATTTCTTCGCCCTCGAAAAAGCTGATCGAGTGCCAAATAATGGGAGTCTGCTGCACAGGCTGGAAACCAGTTGGAGAAGTGGTCGCATCCCACACCTCCCGGAGCGGGGACCGGACACGGTAGTCGCACCGTGCGGGGAGCCCCCAAACGCGATGGCCAAACCCGCGACGTTTCTGGATTCGTCGTCATCCGTGGCAACCGGCTGTATTTGGAGTCGGTCGCCGCCGCTCGTCGTGTTGTCACAAGACGTGCGTGTGTTTTGACGTTTTGACCGCTCGGCTCGACTCGGAAGAATTTCCTGTCTGGCGCCCATCGCCCGGTGCGCATGCGCACAATGTGCCAAATCGCGAAATAAATGACCATCGTCTCTAAAGTCCTTCTCCCACGATCAAATGAACTCATCCAATAGTCATCAAATGCAAGATGGCGACTGGTTTTCGCGCAAGTCTGCTATCAAATGTTAGCGGGCCGTCAAATGTTGATGAACCCGCCATCTTGCATTTGATGAGTTCATTCGATCGTGGGAGAAGGGCTTAAGGGGTCAGCGTTCCGTTGACGATGGAAGCTTCGGCTCATTGGCGTAGCTCTATAAAAGGGGTCCACTATTCCACAGCCGAGCGACTTCAAAGTGAAATGCAGCTAAATATCTCTTAAAAAAATAAAAAATACTATGTAAAGTCACAGCACCCCGTCCAACGATCTGGTCGGACGTTTGGTGAACTTTTCTGTTTTTTCATTGAGCAATCGTGACTTTTGAGAGTGTATCAGATGCCACATAATTCAGCCACGTGGGTGCTCGGGTTGCCAATACTGAAAACCGAAGGGAAACGAGCAAAGAGGTAAAGTTACTGCCTCGCTTGTAATGCTGGGTAAATAATTCCCTCTTCGAGCAATCGTGGGATCTCAGAGTGATACCACTATTCGGCCACGAGGGAGCTCGGGTTGCCTACACTGAAAACTGAAGGCAATTTGACATAGTGAAGATTAAGTCCCCGCTCAGCAACCGCACGCCACGCTCATTGTCAGTAAATTATTCCTGCTTTCTTCTTTAAGCAATCGTGAGATCTGAGAGTGATACAACTATTCGGCCACGTAAGAGCTCGTGTTCCTTACTTTTGAAACCGAGGGCAATCCCAATCTGTCAAAGAGCCGAGGTCTAATCTACAGCGCTTTTCAAGGTTTTCCGTGATGCTAAAAAAATTCCGTTACAATTCTCGATTTTTCAGGTTGCTAAACGCCCTGGTATTTCTCGTTGAAGTTTACATTATGAAAAATTAGTCAAGAGGATCCCCGGACTCTTTGACATCCTCAATATCCCACGCCCCCGGTGGAGGGCCCGGGGCCCCAGGCCCTCTAGACGCGTACGCTGTCCGGGTTTTCTCCCCACCAGTTTGGCTCTGGTTGTTACGCGACGTTTAAATCAGACTGCTGTAGTTGTATCATTGATTTTTTCTCCGATCTTGCAATGTTGTATTCGCGACTCTCCATCAGATTTGCGAATCAGTTTCCTATGCATCTTTGCGCGGCTCGAGGCGCTTTCTATCCGTCCTCCAGGAAATTTGGTAGTTTTCCAATAGCTCCTCTTGCTAACTTCATGCGCCTGATCATTTCATAACTATTTTTATTTCGGAATGACCTTGGTTTGGACTTCCTCGGTGACAAGTTTGGACCAAATATCTGTCCTTGTCGCATTCAAAATCTCGATGGAAGTGATCGAGTTTTATAGTTTTTTATTTATAATCAAATACGCTTCATGAACTTTGGAATCCCGGGTTGCCACGGATGCTTCCCGAAAGATGCCGAAAGGAGGGCGTTTGCAAGAAGTTTTTTACGTGTTTCCTCCGAATAGCGCAAAAATGAACATTCAATTACGTTTTGCGTCACTTTATTTTGTGTCTCCGCTCAATTTTTAGCATTACGAACGTATTTAGCGATAAAATCAAAATTTTGCATGATCATGCTTTTGATACTGAGGTCAGTGCACTGCGCACTGCATCGTTCAAAAAGATGGTGAGTCAATATCGAGGTTTTGAGGTCTTCATTTGAGCAGACAGTCGGGAGGCAGTCCAGTACTACCTTGCGAAGTAAGAACGCCGTAAAAACATTCGAAAGTTGCCAAATTTCCTCCTATAAAAAACTAATTTTCAGGAAGCTTCCAAGTGTATTTTCGGTTGTATTTATCAGAGATTTTTATTCGCATTTTAAAAGACTGTTTGAAAATTTCAAAGAAAAATATTCCCATCTTTCATCGAAAAAAACATTTTATCCAGAGGAAATTTTGCAACGTTCAAACGCTCATACGGTGTTCTTCCGTCGCACCGCTGAGTAGTTGTCCATACAGCTGTCAGATCGCGACCGCACGCACTATTTTGCATTCTCGCTCTGGGGCGGGACGGATTGTTGTAGACTAAGAAGAGCTGAAGCAAGAATGTAAATTTTATGAAATCTCCGGCAAGGGTTGTACACCGCACGTCACAATTTTGAAAACCTCCCCCCCCCCTCAAGAGGACATTGTGCTGCCATGCTAAGGAAGAGCGCCGTATGAAAACTCGCGAGTTGCAAAATTTCTTTTGATAACATTTTTACTGACGAGGAAAGTTTATGAATATTTTTTCGAGACATTTTCAAGAACTTTAGGTAAAATTGCAAACAAAATTATCTGAAAGATTGGAAGAAAATTATTTACAAATTTCCCCGAAAATTCGTTATTTACCCAAGGAAATTTGGCAACACCTGAAGGTTCATACGCCGTTCTACCTCAGCACGGCAGTGTAGTAGTTAGCATGAGCCCAAGTTTCTTAATTGCTCAGTGTCATGGGGGGGGGGGGGTCTAAAGTACCGTAGTTTTTAAAAAGTTACAAGTAGAGAAAGTCTGCTAAAAAACACGACGTTGATTTTAACGAGTATCTTTTTACATAGAAAAATCAATGTCATCGCCATTAA